AGAGTGTAATCCCGCTTCACACTCGTTCAAATCATTGCTGAATTTGAGCTGGCTGGTTGACTTTGGCTGACTTTGAAGATGATTGTAGAAACTCGCTTTTGCAGAAGGTTTGACCAGAATAAATTTCACGGCGCCAAATAWCTGGTTGCAAACTGCTCCTTTTCAGTTTAACAGGAACTTATTTGTCAGTTTTGATAGTTTAGCTTTGAGTTCACTGAAGCCAAAGCAGATAAAGCGTCTAAGAATAGGGTGTCATTTACTGCTAACATTATTAACACTACTTGTCTTTTAACAAACTAAAACTGGAACGTTTCACTCTGCATACTTTCTGCTCCACACTAACATAAGCTGCTTCTGAACATACAAATGTGTGATGGCTACATTTGTCCACGATTCAAAGCATTTTAAAGGCTGACAGCAGAGCYAAAAATGAAAATAAAAAATTTAGTTTTCACAATAACAAAAAGTAAAACTAATCAAACCAAAATTAAATAAAACAAAATAAAGATCTATAAAAAATCATGAAGTTTGTAACAAGTTTGATGTAACTCAAACTTCAGACTTCTGGGTAAAAATCTTGATTTTAACACATGATGTCATAAAGCTCAATGTTCTGTGTAAAAGGCATGGATTAAAACTAATTTTTTTCTCAGGGAAAGTTTTAAATTTCTGTTTCTTCTCTAAGTCAATCACATCTCCAATTTTAGATTGTGATATAAAATATAAAAACCAAAATGCAATGTACCACAAACCTCATAAACTCATATTTAATTCACAACTTAAAATAAAAATGATTCAAATGTTTGAACTAATGAGTAGTTTTGTTTGAGATTTTCCTTTAAATTTACATTTTTCCCCATAAAATGTTAAATTGAATGGGATTTTTCCAGCTAATATTATTCAGTTATTAAATATTTACGTGATCTGAGTTAAATCCTTTTAAACGCATCATTTTTGAGGGTTTGAGGAGCTCAGAACACTAGTTTAGTCTTTTATTTGAACAAATGTTTATCAGTTTCATTGGACTGTTGACAACTAATAACTCAACTGAAGACACAAAGTGCTGCATTTCACACCATGTTTGTTCAAACTTCACTGTGAACAGAGACGAGGGGCTTCGTGTTTTCAGCTGCCGTTCTAAATGTAACTCCAGACTTTCACAAAAACACCTCAGTTTGCTTTAGACTTCTTGTGGTGTTTTTTGCTTTAAAATTGAACGTTTGTCCAATTAAAATGAATAAATACCAAACTGTGAATAAAAAGTAGAAAGAAAAGGAACCTTTTATTTTAGCTACTTCTTCAGGATTTGAATCAAGACTTCGGAATAAAGTTCAAACTACGACTGTCCCAAACTAACTCTTACAAACCAAATGAATGATGAATAAAACCACAAAAACAGCTTTTCTAAACTGCAGCTATGTTGGGGGTGGGGGGGTGTTTGACCCTGTTTGCTGCCATCAAACCTAACAGTCATCTTAATGGCTAAATAAACCCTGCAGCTGAAAGCCATGGCATTTTGCACCCTGCACGGTCCCTTTCTGCCCCGCTAACCCCACTAGCACCCCACCTCTCATCCCTTTAAAACTGTGCCACGTCCCGGCAGGGCTTTCCGGGGATTTGTGCAGAGAAAAAGGAGGGAGAGGGAACAGGATTCTGCAGAAGTCACCCAGAGGTACGAGTACGAGGCGTCCCCCTTTAATTGTCTGAGTGCTGATTCAGCATTCTCATTTTTCTGTTTTTATTCTCTCATATTTTCTATTTACTTCTGCATACTTTGTGCTTTTTTTTTTTTAGCCATTACAGTTTTTCTCAGTTGCTAAAACATTGAAGCATGTTGTTTGAACCAAATGCTCAGTTCCCTGAACCCATTTGTTAAAATGGCCACCCTTTTGTTAGAACACTAAGCACATTTTGCCCAGACCTATTTTCACCCACTAAAACACATTTTGCTCTTTGGTTCACATGACACAAATAAAGCACCGCTGCTTGAACTGAAACACTCAACTCAAAATTAATCACGCATGTGTCTAARGATGGGAACAAACCAATACAAGGCAGTAAGGAGGCCTGGTCATCGAAGATTCACTATGAATAGAAAAAAATCACAGAGGAAAATACTCTGAATATATATATATATATATACAGTATATACAGCGGGTAAAATAAGTATTGAACACGTCACCATTTTTCTCAGTAAATATATTACTAGAGGTGCTAATGACATGAAATTTTAACCTGGTGTTGGTAACAACCCAAGTGATCCATACATACAAAGAAATCAAACCATAAATGTCCAGAAATGAAGTTATTTGTAATAATGTGGAATACAAAGAGTTGGATGATGTCTTGATATTTGTTAATTTTTATATATTGAGAAATACGTTAAATAAAAAATAATAAATAAATGTTTATTATAGTTTTTCCAGAGTGACTTGAATTTTGCAMGATTTAGTTCATTTGTTAGATTGTTAACATCTTGCACTATATTTCTTTTACTTGAATTTTATATGCTTTGGTTGAGATTTTATGTTAATGTTAAATCTTTTAAGCTTTTTTTGTTAAAGAATTGACTCTAGAGTGCATATTTTGTGTCCATGAAAAAACTATTACAGAAAATATTACAATATTAAAGAACTGTTCTTCTTAATTTGATGAAAACATTTTAAATATCCAGTGCACTCACATCAGAATAACTTATAGATTTGTTGTTAAAATAATCGATTGATCGAAAAAATAATCATTAGATTAATCGATTAGAAAATAATCATTTGGTACGGCACTAGGCGAGGTACAAGTTTTCTATAAATTTTAGATATAATGTTTTCTTTAAGATGACCTAAACATGTGTTTTGTTTAGGAAACGTCTTTTCCTTTGTGGACAATGAAGATAATTTCAAAAGTGTCATGAACTGATCATTAAATTTTCTTTTTTTCATTGCTGAGTGTAATGACTGTTTTGTAATGTTGTCTATTTGGACTTCAGGTCTGATTTGACAACATAGTTTGGTTTTGAGCAGTTTGAACTATTTGGAGGCCAGAGCTCGGTTTGGTGTGAAAGTAGTTTGAAAATTGGCTTTTGTGTTTGCAGTTTAGAGAAATGAATGGATGTTTCAAAAATGTGTGATTTAGCAACTGAGAAAAACTGTAATAACATTCTGGACAAAGGTTCTGTGACTTTTGGTAATTTTTATCATTTTCAAAATATTAACTTTTACTGTATTTGCAAATATGTTTCCCAAAACAAACAAACAAAACAACTGTTAAAATTCCTAGCTATCCTTTTAGAACATGCTTCTAGCTATCATTTGGCTACTTTACTTCTTAGTTAGCCTTTTGCTACAAACAGCTGGCTATTTGCTACTTTTATCAAGCTGCTTTTAGCTTAGCCTTTAGCTTTTTTAGCTTTAAAGAAGACATATAATGAAAATCCACTTTTTTAGCCATTAATTGCATTTTGTTTTGTACTTGGAGTCTCTTGAAGTGCAGAAAAGTTGGATTTAGTCTCTGCCAGTGCTGTGCAGACATCTTTATATTCTGTTTGGGTCATATTTTTCAACCCATTCTGTTTACTCTATTTTCTAAGACATTTTCTGAACTATTACATCACAGTATTTGGTATAAACGATATAAACTGTACAAACAGAACTTCCAAATAAGGTCTGGACTAATCAATTACAATATCATCATCATTCATTCAGGCTGGATGGAAAAGTCTTCCCTTGTTGACATCTTTTGTTTAATTTGTAATTACAACGTTTCTGCACAGCTATATAACTGTAAACCCCTCTATGAAACTGGAACAAACCGGTCTGGAAGCTAGAGGGGGGCGGAGTGTGAAGCACCTCATTTGGATTTAAAGACACAGCCTCAAAATGAGGTGATCTGAGACACAGCTCAGAAAAATGGCAGGGCTTGTGGAGTTACAATAAGGAGGAATTCAGATCAAAGTGTTGCAGTTCCACTTTATTTAGACCCCAACTGAATGATTTAAATGTGAAGAAGAAGGATTTAAAAGCATCATATGTCTCCTTTAAAGACTCATTTTCAGATTTTTCTTTTTCTTTTATTTATTTATTTTAATTTCAGCAGTTATTCAGCACTCAGTATCTCAGCTAATCACATGTAATAAACTCCCATTACATTAATCAGTTCTGGTATTTTTTCACAACCAAATCTAACCTGACAAAGTCGAGGGGTAAGAATGTGATAGTTAAATGTATAAAGATGCCAGGAAGCTTTAAAAAGGACTAATTAAAACGTGAAACCAACACAGTGTTAGGCACTTACTGATAAAKCACTCAAATGTTCCAAATATATTAACATTTAGATACAGCACAACTTATTCAAATATCTGAATGTTCCCATCGTATTTACCTCCCTAAAAGTTTTTTTWAACGCTTTTGGACAGGAAAAGTGAGATTCTGTAACACTTGGAGGAGTCCTCGCGTCTCTGACAAGTTCAGGAAGCGTCCCACTCAGGCCCAGCTGCTCTGCCACAAAGGGGCCAGATGGTGACTGTGACACCAGGCAGTACATCTCAGTTCCTTTGACATCTCAGTGTCATCCATCTGCAGTGTCAGCATCGTCAACAGCGCGTGTTAATTCATCAAAACCAACGATCTGGGCACACAGAAAAATGTTAGGAGGATATTCACTTTTATGGCCACCCACTGGCAGAAAGTATCCATACTCATGATTTCATTTGGGGGATAAAACACATGATAGGAAACCAGTATTTCTTGGACAAAAATGCGCACTGTCTGCACGCCAACATTTTAAATAAAATCAAACTAATTTATATTTATGATCTCTCACATTGACATCTAGCCTTTCTCTCATAAAAGAGAAATTAAACACAATGTTGCTCAGTTGTTTGCATCCTGCCTTTTTCGTTTAAACGTGGCTCACACAAACTGTCAAACTGTTACACAAAATCCTACACACTACCAGACAAAACAAAATCTAATGGCTTTATTGCTTACTACTGAGAAACAAATGCCTCATTATCTTCCTTTATTAAGATTAATTAAACAAACCTCATTAGAGCTAAAGGTGTTGCGGATGGTTTACATGAACGCACAGGAAGTAAGAAGTTAGTTTCAAAGATGCACACAAAATTGTTTCCACATCATCACATTTTAATTAACTAATATTTTCTTTAGCTGCTGCCTGTAAATTTCTGTGCTTTCCTGCCACTACCCACTCACACATACCCACATGCAGAGCCCATAAATAATGAGTGTTTGGTGCTTTGACACTGTGTGTGGCCGTGACATGCGCAGAGCGTGGAAACATAAAAGGCTGTTTATCGCTCGTATAGAACATTGTGTCAAGATCTGGCAACAAGTTATTACAAACAAAAGAAAATCTTAACAAAACCTCTTGTTGTTAAAGATGTCACATGTGATGTCCTTTAGTTCTGTTTATCTGGTCTTGTGTTTTGGATTTGTTGCATGTTTTCTGCTGCTTTCTTGACCAGGTCACTGTTAGTGAAGAACTTTTAAATCTCATTGGGTTAAATAAATGATACATACGTACTTCTTGAAAACTTTGCCTGAGCAAGATGGCATCCAAACAACACTTCATCAAGCAACTCTTCTAACATGTGAAACATTATGTGTTTATACTGTTGAAGCGAGGCACATATTTAATAGAGAATTGTAAATCATCTTACTGTTTAAAGTAAATGCTTACAGTTGATTATAAAGCATGAAATATAAAATATAAGACTGTATCTGTTAATTTAATTTACCACAAAATATCCAACGTCCTCCAAAAGGTGGAGTTACATCCAGTCATTATTTTCTGAGTTTGATTCAAATCRATCCTCACATATTTTGCTAACAGAATAAAATAGTGAAGAATAAAACAACATTTGAAGTTTGTCAGCAGATCAGAATTCTCTAAAACTGGATTTCTCTTTTGACTGTTGCATGAATAATGTCTGTTTGACGTAAGAGCAAATGTCAGGTCAATTTTATAACTGCACCTCAGAGTTTTACAGTAAAGTCAAACCACATGATAATAATAGAATAAATGTCGTATRCTTCCCACAATGCACCTCTGACTCCTATTTTCTCCTCACGCTGACAACAAAATGTTAGCTTTATTTGGCCTAATTGTCTCTTTTCAACCTTTAGGAGAATCTTGACGTTGACGTTTGTTCCCTTCTGTCTCGCCCGGCTCTCCCACCCGCCCACCTCTTCCTCCCTCTCTGCTCCTGGTGTTGCCATCCCCTCCCTCTGTTTTTTTTCCCGTTATCCCTCCTCCGCTTTGATTTGGCTACCCACAGGAACTTCCGGAAGCATCTTCGGATGGTGGGCAGCAGAAGGATTAAAGCACAGAGTGAGTCAGATGTGTGTGTGTTCGGTTGATACGTTTGTTCAAACTGACTGTGATGTTACTCACCTCCCCGTCATCACTTTTTCTTTTCTTTTTTAAATTTATTTTATTTACTATTATTATTTTTTGTGGTGTAATTTTGCATGTGTGCCATTGAGCTCTGCTACTTCCCGTTATCCCTCCTCCGCTTTGATTTGGCTACCCACAGGAACTTCCGGAAGCATCTTCGGATGGTGGGCAGCAGAAGGATTAAAGCACAGAGNCTATTATTATTTTTTGTGGTGTAATTTTGCATGTGTGCCATTGGGCTCTGCTACTTTGGTCTTCTGAGCTTCAGTCAAAAAATTTGAATGTGAGAGCATGAAACTTGTGCTGCGGAGCAACTTTTTCTCTGATGTATCTGCAGGTTTGACTGTCAGCTACAAAGTTCAAATAAGATTTAAGCAAAATTAAACTGCAAATAAGATATTATTAGTAGTGATGTTTGAAGTGTGTTTTCTTTGGGGAAAAAAAGAAAAGCAAAACAGAGTTTTATCGGTGAGGAAAACAAGCTTTGATAGGCTGCAAAAGTAATCACCACCATGTAAACTTTTTAGGTAGTTGTATGGAAAAACCATGAAAGAATGAATCAGTTGTGTTCATTAGAATAGAATAAATGTATATATTACAGTAATTAAAACTACGATTACATTAAGTTTAGTAAAATAATATCAGTTCACTTTCTTGCACTGCTCCTCTTTTTGCATTTTTATTTTCATCGGATGTTGAAAAGTGAGTAAAAATCAAGTAAATCTACATATTATGACTTTTAAGATGCTAAAGCTTGTATATCCCTGCACAGTTTTGACTGAAATAACTTTTTCTTTATCTGATGGCATCGAACATAAATGTCAAAATCTTTTAATGGGAAATCTGAACCTGGACCAAAATTACCCTGAGGACAGTTTGTTATAAACGAATTTCGGAGACAAAATCAAAGCTGTCAAAGCCTCAGGATCTGTGATTCCATCACCAAACAAAACACATGTTCCTCAAAGAAAACTGTTGTTTTAATCACAACAAATGCCTACATAAATACAGAATCTACAAAATAAGTTTTAAAGCAGCTAAAATTAAATCTGAAAATCATKGTCCAAGAATTGATGTGCCTGAAGGAGAACTGTTAAACCATGTCAAACACTTTCAAATCGCCTAAAAATAGTCAAACATGATGTGATTCTGTGCAAAGCAGAGCTGATTCTGTTAGATTTGCTCAGTGACTCACTTTAAATCCATGCTGATAATAAATCCACCACCAGTGATGAGAAATCTGGGGATTGTTTGTGGGCTCATGTGATTCCAGGGGGTTTGTTCACTGTATATCTGTGCACTTGTAGATGTAGTCTTTGCAAACACTCCTGTGTGTTTTCGGTGATGGACGTACAGAGGGACGGTTTGCAGGCTTGTCAGTGTGTGTGTGTGTGTGTGTGTGTGTGTGTGTGAGAGAGCGTGAGTGTGTGTGTGTGTGACTATCTCTCCTCGCCTGCACCAGCATTCGCTGAAGTTAGATCGAAGAGTTTCAGCCATTCCTGGAGCGATCCCACCCCTGTCAAGACAGACTCTCCTCATGACCCCAAAGACAGTGAGTTAACACGGACTCACACATGTACACACAGATACACACACAGGTGCAGTTTCTAAAGAGAGAGTAGAGAGAAAAAAAGAGAAAATGTGCAGCAATAATTGCAGTTGTGGACACAAGTTGTTTTCTGCACTGAGGAACAGATAAAAGAAAAGATTCCTGAGGTGATAAAGATTCAGATAAAAAAGTGTTAATTTCTACTTTGAATCAAATTTAAACTGTTAATGTTGTTTAGGTGACTGAGGAGCAGAGCTCAAACTTTTATAATTCTGTTTTACTAAAGCAAACAAAAAAAAATAAAGAAGTCGCACAAAAACATTTTGAGTTCTTAAAGGAGACGTATCATGCTTTTATATAAATCCTTTTTCAAATTTAAATCCTTCAGTTGAGGTCTATATAAAGTGGAACTGCAATGTTTTGGTRTGAATTCCTCCTTATTGTAACTCCACAAGCCCTTGTTCCACCCCTTTTCCGAGGTGTGTCTCAGATCAACTCGTTTTGAGGCTGTCTCTTTAAATCCAAACTACAAGCTTCACACCCCGCCCCCTTCATCTTCCAGAATGGTCCATTCTAGTTGGATAGAGAGGGTCACGACTAAATAACAGAAACTTTTTAATTTATTTACAAATTGATTAAAAGATATCTACAAGTAGGAGTGTAAGGGGATCTCGTTGTACGAAATCTCGCAGAAATAAACTCCCGTGATGTCTCTCGTTGACAGTGTTGCCAACTTAGCGACTTTTTAGACCCCTCTAGCGACTAGTGACAAATCTAGCGACTTTTCCCGGTGTTTTTGGAGACTTTTAGAAACTTTGGCGACAGCCCTTTCCAAGCACTTTTCTCCTCCTTTCCTCTGCGAGCAGCGAGCAGTGCGGTAAGCCCCTCCCCCTTCCTAAAGCGGTCAGCCCAGAACCCTAGAGAGAGAGAGAGATCTGACAGATATTCACATAAAGAAAATGAAGAATTACTTATTTTCTTTTATATTTATGTTCAGTTTTTGGAAAGTTCTGCGTGAATGTTATTTTTTAATATGATGCATGCATATAGTTAAAGCACTGTTCTAAGGTCTAAGGACATTCAAGAAATCAGAAAAAGGAARATATGAGTTGAATCTGTGATTAAAAAATGTTAATCTACAGAATAAAAGCCTTTTTGCAGCATAACATTGATTTTTGAAGTTTTCTTGAAACTAATWTTAAAATTTCGTCTCATCTCATCCTCGCAAACTCAGTATTGTGTCTCGTCTCYAATGTTTTGTGTATCGCTACAKCCCTACCTACAAGAGAAGACTTATCATCCAGACTCACATGTTGGAGCCAGAGTCTGACCCAGAGCCAGAGGAGAGCAAAGACCAAATTGTAGCTGGTACTGTAAGTCCAGACCTTSTTTAGAAGTTTTGTCGCAAACTCTGTGATGTGATAGTTCAGAAAACGTCATAGAAAATAGAGAAAACTGAACAGGTTGAAAAATATGACCCAAACAGATTAMAAAGATGTCTTCGCAGCACRWGGAGAAACTAAATTCAAAATTTCTGCACTCCTAGAGACTCCAAGTAAACAACAAAATGTATTTAATGGCTAAAAAAGTGGATTTAGCATGACATGTCCCCTATAAAGTTCTAGTATTTGATGACAAGCATAAAATAATTTAACAATGTCAACCAGTGTGAGAGCTGAAAAATGAGTGAATGAGTGATTTACATGTCTATTTGTGTAAAARTACATGTTTTTGTCTTACTTTCACAAAATAAAAGCCATTTCATCCTTTTGTTTTGGCCGTGTGTCCATTTTACTACAGTTACAGCCAAATATTTAATTGTGGTCTTACCATGTCCTAAATCTCATCCAAAATGACCAGCAAGCCACGTGGCCACGTTTGAACTCTTAGAAATTAGCTACTAAAATAATAATAACCCGTGTCTGACAGCTGGAAGGCGTACTGTACACCAGCTTGAGCCAAGGCTGGAGTGTTGCTAAGATAAATCATGTTTAGTCATAAATGAAGTCTAAGCTGTAAAGATTAATCCAGGGCTGTAAAACGTGAGCAGTCTTATTAACATCGTTCCAAATGGAGACTGATTTACTTCAAAGCTGAACCTCAGAGAAAGCTGCACTTGTGATAGTGGAGCMCCCAGCCTGCTCTGTAGATCTTATTTATAATGAGGAGACATTTTGGCATCACAGTTTTACAACTCGCCTCCTAGCCAATTAACACACACACATACTGTACACACACCCTCACACACAAAAACTGACTGTCCTTGTTGTTGACTCTGACCCTGTCCATCTGTCTCCATATGACCATGGGTGTTTCTTGGACTTTGTGACGCTCTCGTTCTGTGAGTATGGAGTGTGTGTCTGAGTCCGAACCGATCAGCCGGTGAAAACTTCTCTGAGGATTTGAGCATCTCTTGTGCTTTTCCTGCACACACCTTACTGTTTGCATGCTGTTTGTCTGCGTTTGTGGTTTTTGTAGTTTTTTTCATCTCCACCCCATTAATGTCTCAGTGTTTCAGTGTTTGATGAAAAATAAATGAYCTGTTGTTAAAAGCCCAATTGTGCGTTTGATGCCTTATTTTTCTTCCTTAATAGAGGAGGAAAAAATGTTCTTTTGTTTCTCAGGTGAAAATGGGAATCTGTCCTGTTCTCTGTTTTTTCGTGCTCATTTTTTTCAAGACACTTTATTAAAAAATAAAAAGACTGTTCACTTTGAAGCAGCACAATAAATATGCTGAGATAGAAATGGTTTTCYAATTGCCCTTTACTAAACATGTTGGATCTGTTTCTGTTCATCTGCATGAAAAAAAGGTATACTACAAAAAAAGCATAGCTTCATATAAATTGTCACATAGCAGTGAAAAGTACCCAAATACAGACACTTATCAGAAAAACAAACAATTAAAACAAGGTAGAACTGATACCTGCCCTAGACTCATCTGCATTTCAAGCATGGACATGAAGTTATTTTGGACTTAAACAATCCAAGAAGTACATAACTTTGTCAACAGTGTGTAAACATGACTTCCTCTTTGATATTTACCATATCAACAATTTCAGTGACCAATCACTTACTGTATGTGTTCTATCCAAACTAAGGGAGATTCAAGCAACAAAGATCACTTTACCTGACCTTCAGCTTTGACCTTTGACCCCAAAATGTTTTCAGACCTCCGACTGAAATCAATAACTCCGTTCAGGACATACAGTGCACACAAGACAGCATGACGGACACCTGGTAATGCACAGCTGGACAACCAAAGGTCATGTTTAGAGGTTCAAGTAGGATTATTGTGGCCTGAAACTWCAAATATGGGTTGTATCATATGAAATAATAATCGATTTCCTTTTTTAAACCAGGTATTATATTTGTACTATTGAGGAATTACAAAAAAATGCCAGATTTATATTACCAATCATCATAAATGGCCTTGACCTTTGACCCTTTGATGCCTAAATCTAACCAGACCCTAARGGCCTCCGGCCCCAGTGGGCGGAGCTATATTAAATACTGTCCTGTTTTTTTTTTTTTCTCCTCACTTTTCTGTCTCGACATCTTGGAGTCCCTTCCACCCCAAAATGGTTTTCCCTCACCTCTTTTTTGCCGCCCATTAGCTCAAACCTCGATCCTCAGCTGCGTCTTGTTTTCTCTTCCAGGTGGAGACCTGCAGACCTCCAGCGGCACCCTGGAGGAAGGGGGCCTCGATGAAACCYTCGACTGGGAGGAGGAGAAAGAGATGGAAAGACTGGCCTGTGAGGGGGARGACTTTATTCCTCCCAAAATCATGGCAAGTGATCAGCGTCATACACTCTTCAGATTATTTCATCAAATCTAATTAACTACAAGTGGAGGATCAGKGACTTAACTCAGCAACTTATTAATGTGGTGGAAAACACTTGAAAATGATCATCTTTGAACGAAGGTTGCTTCCACTGATGATTCATAATATTTATTAAAGAAACTGCTGATCCATAAAGTCATGTGGTGAACCACTACACTGTGAGCACAGGCTGTAAAAAGAAATAAAAAAAGAAGTCCAGTCCCTTATTTGCTCTTACATACAAAGAAGAAGTACGGTTCAGAGTCACATTAACCACAGTTAACGCCTGTTAAACTTGTTCAAATGTACATTTAGTCACCAACGACACAATTATATATATTATATTAATTTCTGAGGAAAACAACAGGGAAAATGAACTGTTGGCACAGGGGAAAGCAGAAGAACACAAGACTTCCAAAACATAATAAACCTAATCCTAAAAGATTACACAGAAAAAAACACAGATCCTGTCAATCATATTGCATTTATTTGCAATTTTCAGCCTCAACACTTTAAATCTTCAAACATCTGTTCCACCAATCAGAGTCTGAAGAAGATAACAGAAACCAGATTAAACATTTTACACAAGTTTAAGGACAAACGCCACAATTCAGAGCACATGTCCACATTTCTGCTGTATCTGCTCTCAGATCAATGTGTTATAATAATGRGGTTGTTCCCTGAATGTGTTATTTTAGATAAGCATTCAGTGCTATGGCACAAAATTCTGAGTGAAGACTAATGTCGGGGGGGAAGGAACAAAGATGTACAGATATTAATATTGTAGAAAAGATTTAATAGGGCAATTTTTTAGTACACAAGAAGCCAGGGTCGGTGCAAACAAAGATTTAGAGATTCAGCACCACGGTTTGGGTTGTGAAAGCTGTAGATAAGGCAGGAGACAGAGCAGAGCTGCTAAAGGAAAGCTCCTCCTAAACGTCTGATCAACAAGCAGATAAAAGTTTGTTTGTTCACGTGCAGCTGTGGAGGTCAAGTTCACACTGAGTTGATTTAAATTCATAAAATCCTCAGTGAGACGGTGGACACAGTCACTTCTCAGCTTCAGGCACAGTCATCATCACGTTCTGCAGAAACATTTTTCACAAACGAGTACACAGCAAGGATTTTTTTTCTCTCAGATTTTTCCTTTTTTTTTTTTWWAAATTTCATTCATTCATGTATCCAAACTCCTAAACCTCTTCTCTTTCTTTGTGTTCCTGCGTGACCTACAGCTGATCTCTTCCAAGGTTCCCAAGGCAGAGTACGTTCCTACTATAATCCGCAGGGATGATCCGTCCATCATCCCCATCCTTTATGTGAGTTGAGCACAAATTATCAAAACAAAAAAAGATTATTATTATTATTATTATTATTATTATTATTAT